TTTTTTATCAAACATAGGACCGTGGTGAAGAGAACGAACGAACGAACGGACAACGAGCACAAAATGATGGACGTGGTCTCTCGATGCTTTTGAAAAGCTTTGAAAAGCACCAACGATAGATACGCCCATGCTTGCAGAGAGACATACACGACCTTTACCATCCGCGAGTACGAAACTTGCTCAACATTCGCCCGTTTTTCCACACTTTTCTCTCTCTCTCTCTCTCTTTATCTCTTTTTTTTTTTTCTTTTTTTTTTTGCGAAGAACGAGTCCCGGATATTTCCTTTTCTGCTTTTTTGACATAAAAGCAAAAGCGTTTTTCTATTACCAACAGAAACTACTTGCCCTCTCTCTCTCTCTCTCTCTCTCTCTCTCTCTCTCTCTCTCTTTTTCTCTTTCTCTCTTACTATATTTCTTTCTCTCTCTCTCTCTTTCTACCTGTCTTTCTACCTGTCTTTCTCTCACCATCGTACGTGAATCATTTAACGAGCTTCTCTTCCTCTCTTTATCCGCTTTAGGATTTGGCCTACTAACGGCATTAGTGTGCAAAATCTACGTATTCGTTGCAAAGATCAGGCTAAAATCAAACATACGCACACACCACTAGCACATTATTTCACCAAGGAAGGATACTCAATAATTCCGTGTACATTATCCAAACTTTATTCATATGTAAATATGTATGAGTACCTTAGTGTGTGTGTGTGTGCATATATATTAGACAAATATGGCTCAGAATTTTTGGATAAATCAAAATCAAGAAACTTTTGAAAATAATATTGTAATTGATTTGTTTGTAATTCATTTAAGAATTTTTAGCCTAATCTACGCGTTCACGCACATGCACACAGACACCCACGAATAAACGACACATTACTGATGGGTAATAATGAAAGGAAAAATTGAATCGTTTAAAAATCAGCATTTCTTTTTTTTTTTTTTTTGAACAAAAATGTAAATTATTATATTTCAATTACGTCGTCGGTAATGTGTGTGAGATTAATTACAGAATAATTTTTTTTGCTTTTTCTTTTCCCAACGAATAGGATTCGAAGCGTGACGTGTTTTACCCACGGGGATATTCCTTTAAAGGAAAAAAAGAAAAGAAAAGAAAACCTAAGTCGAGAACCAGTTGCTTCGATAAAAGTTATTCTCTTTTTACTTTTTTTCGATTGAAAAAGTATCCAACGAAATTACAGCACGTCGTTTTCCGGCTGCTGTTATTCTCGCGAATTCCGATAATAATAATTAACGCATATGTTTAATTGTAATAAAACATTTTTTAGGCATACGACCCCGAGAAGATCGGCACCCGAACCAAGAAAGAGACAATAAAAATGATTCGCAATTTCCTTCTCGTCCCTGTACAAAAAAAAAGAATAAAAAAAAAATTGATCGGTTGGGTAATGATAATGTTTACGTTCACGTTTTGGCACCAATTAACATTGGCGTTATGAGCACGAACACACCCTATACGACATAAAGAAATTACGAAGTGGAAGAAAAAAGTAATCATTATGATAATAAATAATAATAATAATATTAATAGAGAAGAAACACAACTAGATTAATTTAATAGAATAAATGAATAATAATATGCCCCAATTTTTTAATTGTACGTAATCATGTAATTAATATGATTTATACGCACATACGTATACATGAATATATATATATATATATGTATCATATATGTGTCGTACTCTTATCACGATCTTCGAGTTTATATATTGTCTTCTAACACGATATCCGACGTTCATACGATTATTAATAATCTTTAATTGCTAAGAGTTAATTAAATTATTATATTCCTACGTTGCGGGGTTTTTAATAGTACAAATAAAAATGGAAAAAGGATAAAAAATAAAAAAACGTCACATTATTAACAACGCAAGTATGCATGTGGTGCGATAATGAACGATAAAAATGGCAAGGAACCTGCGTTTAGATTATTCTCATCGTGTTCTTACGAAACCAAAACCAAAATCTAATCCCGTTAGAAGGAAGTCAATAATAATAATAATAATAATAATAATAATTATGCTTCTAACATATCGAGAATAATTTTGACGTTAAATGTTAACCAGCAATAGCACCAAATAATTCAAACTTTTTCTTTCTAATTTTATTCAGAAAAGGGTTTGCAGCTACGAGGTTGATCTTAGCTTCACTTATTGCACAGACCAATTGTTTTTTCTTTTTTTCTAAAATAATTTGTATTTTCTTTTTTTGTTTATTGGTAATTATTACATTTGATTAATCTTACGTTTTTTCAAGTCCTTTTTCTTCTACTCGTTTCTCTGTCTTTTTCTTTCTCTCTATTATTTTGTTTTGTTTTCTATTCGAGATGGTTTTTAAAAGTTATAAAATATTTCTAAAATAAAGATCAAAGAAGATAAAATATTGATTGCTATTTTTTTTAAAATAGTTTCTCCAGATTATATTTTCTTGATACAAAAGTTATATTTTTTTTGTTTGTTTGTATTTTCTTTTTTCTTTCTTTCTTTCGTCTTTTTTATCTTTTTTTATATTCTTTTTTAATTCCAGGGCTATATAAAATAAAATAGAACGATCAAATAACGTTCAAAAATGTTTTGGAGAATACGATTAAAAAAAAAGGACTTCAGTCGATTACGATTTTTTATTTAGGAGGGGAAAAAATATATATGATGTATATATATGTAAAAAAAAAAAAAAAACACACAACGAAAATAGGAATTAATTATAATGTGGAAAATAATTGATTGTTTGGATTGTTTTGATTTTAGTGTGCTGACCATAAGCTCAGACTTGCCTACCGTCCTAACAGTGCTCAACGAGGTTGTACCTAATCTGGAAGAGGTTAGTATTAACAATTAATAATTATTATTATTAATTAAATCAAACACACAAAAAATATTCAGTTATTTAAATTTTTTGTTTGTTTAAGAATGGTCCTCGATTGGGAAACAACGATGAGATCGATATAAGAATGCTGGTACATCAAAGTCAGGCTGGTTGTGTCATCGGTAAGGGGGGCCTGAATATTAAACTACTACGCGAGGTGAGTCATTTTTGAGAATTAACGATTGCTATTGGAGCCCTTTGACGATTCTTATGGCTTCCATAAGTGTCAGCTGGAACTAAATTTGGATTAGGTTGCTATAGTACGGTAAAACAAAAAATATTACAAACTGTTCATTTTTTGAATTTGAATTTGTTTAGATTTATTTTTCAAATGGATTATAAATAAATAAATTTAAAAATGAATTCGAATCTAAAATTTAAACGAAAATCGAATAAATTTTTGACTGTCGGAGTAAACCAAAGTAAATGATATTTATTGAAGTTATACTGAGGAAAGGTGGGGAAGGGGGGGGGTAAAAAGTTAAGTAAATTGTGAAGATTGAAAGAGTAAAAAATAAATGAAAAAAAGGAAAAAAACACACACAAGGATCGTAAAGGGCTGGTTATAAATCTGTAAGAAACATTCCAAGGATGCGTTCTCGTGGAAATCGGTTGTCTGTGCTCGTTCAAACGACGATGAAATATTCGACTTTAGTGGCTTCTTGCTCCGGAGATTCTCGACCTTCCTTTACGCCCCCTCCCTCCCTCCTTTTCCCCAGTCCGCTCCCCCTGCCATGCTCTTTACTCTGCTGAGGTTCTTCGCGGTGAGATTATCCGAGGATATTCCGAACTCTGAATGGTTTACTTTAACTTCAAAAATACACCGTGAAGAAGAAGAAGAAGAAGAAGAAAAAGAAGAAGAAATAGAAGAAGTAGTTGGAGCTTTCGAAAAGTTGGAAGGGCTCCTCCTCTTTACCGCGTAGAAATCACAGTTTTTCGATTGAATCAACGACGTACCCATTATTTTAATCACTCAAGCGTTTAATACTTATATCATTTATCTAGAAATAATTAAACTCCGAGAGAATTGCAACTTTGCTAAAAGTATAAGTAGTTTCTTTTGTTTTTTTTTCCTCTTCCCCCCACCCCCCTGCGCCTTTATTTTTGCACTCGAATCACATTACTAATTGAATCTTTTCGAGAAATTGGAAATACAAACGTTTCATTTTTCTGTTTCGTTTAATTAGTATTATTGTATTGTTTATTTTAATCGGTAGTAAAACTTCGCGTTAAAAGATAGTGGTGGTATATAAGTAAAAGAAAAAAAAAGATCATTCGCAAGGATTTTCTTTAAAGTATTTTTTACTACTTATTGTGTTAATTGTTTTGTCTCGGTAGTATTAAAATACTAGGTTTCATCTCACGTCTCTATTATGAGATAGAGAATCACGCGGAAGACCGTACTTGAGCACGTTCTTTCTTTCTTCAAGTTATATACACCACCCCTCTGTCTGGGAAAGAACGAATTTTCTGTCTCGGCTTGGAGAATAAAAGCACACCTTCTTGATGAGAGATGAGAAAAAGCCAAAGTGCTGTATTTTCCTACGTCTTAACGTTAATAAACTCTTTGAAACATCAAATATATTTGATTAATTGAATATTTCTAACTGTGTGTAACGAATACAAATTTATCTAACGTGAGCTTTTTCATCAGTTTCGTTTGAGTATTAGTACGATAATTAGATAATTTCAATTAACAACATGTTAATGTATGATATGACGTCGAGGAAGGGGTGGTTTTCGAAAGTCGATCACGTAATACCATCACAGGGGTGAGTGAGGGGTGGTGTCTGGTTTCTTCTGAAATATATAACGTGGCCCAAGTGGCTCCTTATGTTTTCACCTTTTTTACTGTGATCCCCCTATCACCACCCACCTCCTCTTTCTTTCGTTTTTCATTTTCTTTTCGATATACTCGTTCTTTTTATTTTACTATTTATTTGTATTCTAATATAAAAGTTGTTAAAAAGGTAGAGAAGAAAATCCCATTACGAAGTGTGTCATATTTTGCGATGAATTTTTTAACTGGTTCGGATATCGTATTTATAGAAACGAAACGTTTTCAAGTTGGTATTCTTAAATTTGTCGAAAGAATCGAAGGGAAGAAAGTGGCGTAGGGGGAGGAGAAGGAGGAGGAGGAGGAGGAGTTGTAAACGAACGAACGACCAACGAGTCCCGGCCATTTTCTTGTTTCTATTTTATTCCTTTTCTCTTTTTCTTAGTCTCTTCCATTCAGAAAGAAAAACGAAACGACGGCACTGCCATTCGGCGACGTCACCGACTTTCGATTTATTTTCGAGTAGTCAAGCTTATCGATTCCTTGCCGTATCGACACACACATACACTTATACGCAACAAATATAAAGTCTGTTGCATCCTTGTATCTTTTTATTTCTCTCAAAGGAATGCGCAGGTAGGAAGATATAGTCAAACGATTACCATCTATCGAATCGAAGCGGACTATCGATTTACTCGGATACTTTTTCCCAAGGATTTTTGTTCTTCTTTAATATTACCAACGATGCGTTCAAGTATGATTCACGTTATATTTTTAACTATTACCTATACGATCATTCCATCAGAAGATACTTTTCCATATTTACGAGATCAAAATATATACGAATATAATACATTATACATGAAATTAATTAGTAGCATAATTAATGATGCTCGTTGCATAAATTTATATAAATATATATATTGTTTTTAAATATTTGTTCTCTAAACATTGAAATAGAAATAACGTACGCTTACGTATAAAAGGTTTTAATTAATTACCCGAAATGATATATTTCCCCATTTGGTATCTTGTCCTTAGTGTTCTGCGTGCGATGCGCGCGTGCAAATGTTAAGAGCAAAATTGTCACGTCAGAAAATGAATTCGTTAATTCCCGAGGAAAAATGATTAGTGGTGTGATTCCGAGCCAAGAATAAAGGGAAGAGATGATAGAGATATAACGGTCATCGTGTGTCTAATTAACTTTCTCGAATAGAAACGATCAGTGTGTTTGGCATTTGGCCCGTCGTACACATCGGACGGTGGTGGTCACACATGCAACTGTCAGCATGCAACTCTGGAAAAGCTAATTAAGACAGGACTTATACGAGTAGGCTAACGCATCCAGACAGGGTCTCCGGTTATGTCCTTTTAGATTTCTATCATACCTTGTCATAAGTAACAATCATCTACTCGCATTTAATGAAACTTCATTTTTCCCATTTTATTATTTTCTTCTTCTTAAACGAAGTATAATAACACAGAAACGCAAGAAAAGGAACACATTTATTAATTACTACAAATTGATTTTATTTTAATGGCGGGGTGAGGAGGAGAAGGGGGTTTAGTGGGTGATTCGTATTAATTGATCGGAAACGTTTATATTCTAAAGCTATCCGGGACTTTGCGGTGGTTGGTCTGCTAGAGAGCATCCAAATAGGTCATCCAAACCAGGAGAGTTTGGTGATTAACCCTGTGCGTGATAGTCGAGATCGTTCATGCGTCAAGTTCATCAGGAAAGCACGTTTCCACGGTGTCACTGTCAGAGAGGATCCTCTCCAAGCTTTAGCTCCAATGTTCGGTTTTAGCATTCGGCTTCGAATCTCTAACGGCTTTGTTCTTCTCAGTATTATCGTTACAAACGTGTTCATTTATCTCTCACTATGTTCTATAATATAATTATTCTATTTCCCATGGTTAGTTGATTTAAAAATTATCTTTGATATCTAATCGCGTGCAATGAGTTTTATTGTTACTACTTTTTTTGTTGGGTCGTTTGAAATTTTTTTTATTCATATTACCAGCAAAAATCATATTCACATATTAAATAAGTAAATGATATATATAAAAGAAAAGTCATAGTTGGTACGTTGTAGACTAAATTGAATTTGCTTCAATTTTTCTTCTTCTTTTTTTTTTTTTTTTTTTTTTTTTTCCATAGCGGAGCCCTCGAGTGTAAAGGGTTAATTTCTTCTCTTCCGTGTTTCGCGTAGCACGATAAAAAAAAAACCATTTGTTTCTTTTCGAAAATATATATATATATANCCAGCAAAAATCATATTCACATATTAAATAAGTAAATGATATATATAAAAGAAAAGTCATAGTTGGTACGTTGTAGACTAAATTGAATTTGCTTCTTTTTTTCTTTTTTTTTTTTTTTTTTTTTTTTTTTATTGTCTCCATAGCGGAGCCCTCGAGTGTAAAGGGTTAATTTCTTATCTTCCGTGTTTCGCGTAGCACGATAAAAAAAAAACCATTTGTTTCTTTTCGAAAATATATATATATATATACGGATCTCTTAACGTTTCCAACGCGATAGAACGTGACTGAAAATCCAAAGGGTGATTACCAAAGGGTGAAGAGAGAAAATAAGGTAGAAAAAAAGGACTCTTTCGGCGAGACTCGAAATTAATTCCAGGAAAGTACGCAGGATAATTATGCACACGCGATGGCCTCTCTCGATGTCGTTGACTTGAAAGAAAGTAAAGAAAGAAAGAAAGAAAGAACGAACGAACGAATAAAAGAAAAGAAAGAAAAAAGTCAATAAAACCAGATGAATAAAGTAGTATTTTTCAATGTAGAAAATAAATGTTATAAAATGCCACGAATGTGTTGCAAACGTCGTAGTAAATAATCAATGGGATATCGTAAAAAAAGACTGACATTTTCGTTAGAGACTCGCAACAACTTGGGAATAACATTTCGAACGTTAAAACTCGATCGAAAGGAACCCTCTCCCTCCCCCCCCCGTCCCCTCCAACGAACAAAATAAATTAGGGTTCGAAAACGATAACGATAATTTTCTATTAGTATACGTGAGAAAAGTTTGAGAGAAAGAGAAAGAAAATAAAGAAAGAAAAAGAGAGTTTAGGGGTAGGTTGCAGTTGGCAGGAGGTGGACGCCTAATAAACAAGGATGGAAGCGAAGCTAAATCTCTATTTTCGAGATATGGGGCGGGGGGTCGTCAGTGGTGGTCGCGTTTCCGTCGCGATTCCGTTCGACATTCCCGGCTACTACTCTGTCGTAGCTAATTCTCTGCGTATCGCGAACGAACCGAGGAGAAAGAGAGAGAGAGAGAGAGAGAGAGAGACGAAATGGGAATGGGTCGAGAGACGGATCAATATCGACGGGCACCGAGCTAAACAACGGACGTCCAC